TTTTACATTGGTATGCCTGTGGTGTAGACGGACAGTCCCTCGGTCGGGGGGTGTACGGTCACGTGATTACCAAATTTTCTCAGATGGGTAGATTGCTTCACTTTCTTACCCATGCTGCTCCGCTGGCGCGGATGGACAGACACATTACGTGAAACGTTATGTGACGGTCACATGGTTCTCCAATATCCGGGATTGAGTGTCATTGGATGTCTTCGCATTTTTAAACTCCGGTTGTGTTACAAGATGTGCACTTGCTTGACCTCATATCTTGCTAAATGAAATTGCTTTTTTTGTTGTTGTTTTTTTTGCCTGGCTGTGCCGAACAACTTTCAATCCCAGACAAGTTTTATGCTGCCCCAGGCTCTTTTATAACTACTTAGGAGATAAAAGAAAAACAAACAAACAAAAAAAATAAAAACGCGCTCATATTTCATGTGTAATCTGTCGCGCTCATGGTATGTAAAAAAGGCAAAAACAGATCGTGATCTTTCTGCAAAACATGAAGGCCAATGACTTGATCTTCAAAGTAGTGAACGGACGGAGGAGGAAAGGAGACAGCATACCTTCTGTGACAAGAGTGACAATCAGTAATGTTCGAAAAAAATTCCGCCAAACTTCAATTCAGAAGATCTTTTCGTAAAAGGCGGGGGGCGTAAGGGAGGTACGAATACCGCAATACGGCACTTGGTAGCCGAGAGAAAACCGCAATAAAGCATCAAATTTACCCAAATACCGAAACCGCAGTTGCAAAAGGGAAGAAGTTGCCGTTCTCAAGACTAAAATCCGTCTTTTGAATACTGTTTCCAGATTAAGGTGCGTCGATGTTAAGCATACGATAAACATACATGTACGACCATCGCACTCGTCTTTGTTTATCAAACGTTTTCAGTGAAACTCATATACGATAAGGTCCGATAACTGTCAGTCCATTTTTTCAAGTAGACTGTAGGACAGGAAAATGTCGATAATCGATGTACTGTTGAGGTAGGTTAGGAGTGAGTAGAATAAGATTATAGTACTTACCAAACGGTTTCCCTGAATTTCCCTAGCCTCTTCTCCCCTCGATTTACCAAACAAAGGAACTTTTTTTTTTCTGTTTCTCGCCCCTTTTTCCTTCTTCGTAGAAAATTGCTACGCAATTCATAACTACCTCACTATTTGCTGGATTATCTGACTAGTCACTCTGTTCACTATCTGGTTCACTCGCCATTGTTTCGCGACTGGCACGAAAGAGACGGTAAGGTCGGCAAGAACGTTAGCCAAGACACATTTTAGGGCACTTTTTCCCGCGAAAATAAAATCTCCTCCATGTCTATGAGCGCGTTGTCTGGACTCTCTTTGCACAATCATGACGGTCCCCGACTGTGCAACTAGGAAGACACACAGGCTTGGGGACCTAGGGAGACCTTCTAGGACTCCTTTTAGGATTTGTCAGGAGCCCATAGTTAAGCAATAAAAAACGTTTTCCGTGTTTGCATAGCCTGATTTGAACACGGGGGAGGGGTTGGGAGAATTCGAGACAGACAAACCCGAGACGAAGTCGAGGGTTTGCATAACTGTCGAGAATTTTCCCAACCCCTCTAGTGTTTATATCAGGCTATGCAAACACAGGAAAAAAGTTTTCTATTCCTTTTATAAAATAACTTTCCCAAGAAAAAACGCAAAGCTCTTTGTTATAGCACTGATTAAAAGAGAAATTCTTACCAGTCGCAAAGTCTTGTACACGACGTCTTGCACGCGTAATCAGTTCTTGTTTTGCAAAAAAAATGCTATTCAAAATACGGATTTTTCTCGCTTAAACTGTCAGCTTAAGCGAAAAAAAATTGACACACCTTCTTTGTAATGATTTTCCAAGTTTCGCCGACGGAGGAATTGATAAATAAGGTGAACTTTTCGAGTTTTGAACTCCAAAACCTTTTTCAAATTGGTGCTTGCGTGATTATGCACCTATCAATGTAAACCCCGTGCGGGGGGGGGGGGTTGGGAGTGCGGGCAAGGGGTGGGGATTTGACAAATTTTAAAATTTTTTGATCAAATTCCCCAGGGTGGGAAACGAAAGGTCAATCAAAAGTGTCAAAAAAGCCCCCACCCCAGGGGAAAAATCTAAACAAACAATACTATAGTACTATATAAAACGAATGAAAGAATATTTCAAAAGTACGTTCTTACTACTTTTATTTAAGGTTAACGTAAGCTCCGTTAAATTACTCGCTGTAATTAAGTGTTTTCTCTCCCCACTAGGATCTCTCATTTTGAACAACATAATCACTCCAGGAAGATTGACCGTGCTACTATATTAATGAAACGTAAAATGCTTTATAACATCGGCTCAACATGTCGGAACAGGTCGGATCAGTGACCTGCAAAAAAATCCTCTGACTTTCATGGTAGAATTCGATTTCAATCGAGGTTTACAATCAGATGGGAACTTGAAGATAAAAACTTTCTCAAAGTAGACATTATCTGTTTAGATGACAGTGTACATGTAAAGTATCGGATTGTTGCGATTAAAGCAAATGAAAACTTCATAACTTTCTCCAACAGCGTGACTTTCAGAAGGCCTCGAGGGACGGACTTGGCTACCGCTTCTGAATTGATGCCAGGCTTCTGTCGGTCAAAGTCAAATGTCCCGACCCCGGGGTCGCCTCGCACGATCAAAAGCCCGACAGGGGGATAGTCTCAGGCATCAAATCCCCGCCCCTTGCCCGCACTCCCCCCCCCACGGGATTTACATTGATAGGTGCATTAGCGCGAAAAGAGAAACATCTTGACGCCACAACCATGTTTACATACTCTCATGCAACTCCTCTCGGCCAATCAGAGCGCGCGTACTATCTTAGTTATTTTATAAATTTGTATAGTTGTCATGCTTTAAAGAAACGAAGCAGATCACCGCGTGACAACAATTTTTTCACCGATTAAGTACTTTGAGAAAAAATTGCCGCAAAATCGCACCAGAAATAACCCAATACCGCAAAGCTCCGCGCGTCGAGCTCCGCTAAGAACACAACGTTAAGTGAAGATCACGAGAATACGCGCAAGTAATAGCCCTGTTACGTTTGTTATAAACAAACGTTTTGCCGCCCTCTTCTTTCTTCACTCCTTTTCTATTTTTCACCCGACCATTATTTTTTTTCGACGTCGCTTTTCATTCTCGTTCGGTTCCTTGATGCACTGCAGGCGCACAGTGTTCCAAGTGTTTGAAAGTGTCGCGTCACGACAATTCGTCATGAAACGTCCCTATGGTAACTGTAATTATTAAAAGTTTTAGTTCGCATTTGTTCTTGTGCTACTGTTTGTACCACATCGCCTTTTTTAATTGAAATATTGGCTCAATTGTAACAATTTCTGTATTGCCAATTGTCTCAAAGCTATTCGAGAAAATTATCTATCAACAACTCTACGATTACCTAGATAAAAACAAACATTTGAATACTTATCAATCCGGCTTTCGATCGCTCCATAGCACCATGACGGCGCTACTTGAATCAACGAACAACTGGTCTATTAACATAGATAACGGCCTTTTAAATGGTGTGGTATATATCGATCTTAAAAAGGCTTTTGACACCATTGACCATGCAATTTTGTTACATAAACTTGCAAACTATGGACTTGATCTGGGTTCCCTACGATTCTTTGCCTCCTACCTAGGTAACAGGAGCCAGAAATGTTATGTTAATGGCGTATTGTCCAGTGCAAGCGAACTAAGATGCGGAGTCCCACAGGGTAGTATTCTCGGTCCTTTGTTCTTCTTAATCTATATAAACGATCTTCCAAACTGCCTTAATTCAGCATGCGCTAAAATGTTCGCAGATGATACAACTATTACCATTTCTGGTTCCTCTCTAGCTGACCTTGAACAAGAGACTAACTTAGAACTACTGAACCTTCACTGTTGGCTAAAAGCCAATAAGCTTAGTCTTAATGTTGCGAAAACCGAGTTTATGGTTATTGGCTCTCGCCAGAAGCTTCTCGCGGAAAGCCATAACGAAATAAACATCAAACTAGAAGACCAAGTTATCAGCAATGTTGATCACGCAAAATCATTAGGTCTCATTATTGACAATCGGCTTTCCTGGTCTAATCATGTTAACGAATTGTGTAAGAAGGTAACTTCGGCTATAGGTGCCCTTAGACGTATTAGGCCCCTTATCTCCCAATCTACTGCGGTACTAGTCTATAACTCCTTAATTCAACCTCACTTTGATTACTGTAGCCTTGTTTGGGATGGCTTAAGTGATAAACTGAGTGACAAATTACAAAAGTTACAGAACCGTGTAGCTAGAGTAATTTTAAAGGCCAACTATGGGACTAGCTCGAGCCTGCTTCTTGATATACTCAAATGGGACAAATTAGTTATAAGGAGAAAGAAGCATAAAGCAATAATGATGTTTAAATCTCTAAATGAACAAGCTCCAGTGTACTTGCAGAACCTATTTCACGAACGAAGCACAGACTATGATTTGCGCAATTCCTTTCATAAATTGACGTTGCCCAGGCCGCGTACTAACTACTTGAAACGAAGTTTCAGTTACAGCGGTGCTTTGTTGTGGAACTCTTTACCCGAAAATGTGAGAGAAACTAAATCAGTCAGGAAATTTAAAGAGCAAATCAAACATGTATTTGAGTCGTCGGACTCTCACTCGGCAGTCTTGTAAAACAGTATGTCGATAGTTTTTAGTCTAATTAATTGTGATTAGATTTTTACTCTATTATTACTGAAGATTTTACCGAGTTTTAAATAAAAAATCTACCTACCTACCTACCTATGGTCGTGCTTCAAAAATCGGATAACCAACTTTACGCAGACATTGTTCGATGTTTGAAACAAAATTTTCGATCTGAGTTTCAACGGCCTTTCGTCGCGCCGCATGGCGAGCGAAAAGTCCGAATTCGAACGGGTTGTCATTACAAATCGCAATTACCGGAAGACTATTGGCAAGAGTAGTACAATCACAATGTAAAACAGAGTGTTCGAGGATTTTATACGCCGGCTTATGTTCCGTATGCTTCAATTGGAGATAGTTTGTTTGGATGTAAAAGACCTCGTAGTGAAAACAGTTGGCGGTGAACAGAGGCCGGAGAAGGTAGGTTAAAAGCTTCAAAACACGATTGTTTTACTTATATATATTGACATTTATTCTCATTCTAAAAACTGAAAAGACATTCTCACTTAAACCAATTCACTACTTTATTCTCTAGAATCAGCTAGGGTACACATAAGCATTTAATATACCACAACAATACGCCACGAGAAATGCAGCAGTGTCCCTGATTTGAAAACCAAATCTAACTTTGTTATCAGAACCATGGATATCCATGTCGGAACATGCGCATGCACTGCATGACATCCCTGTTCGTCATGTCTTAATATTAGCATCTCCTACAGCTATTTTTTTTATAGAGGAATTAAAAAATTCCTTCTTTTGAAAAATATTTCCTGTAACCCTGAATAGTTATCCTGAGTTATCTCACCCGGTAAAATTCACCTTGACAACGCATGGAAGGTTGCTACTTGTTTCAGCTCATCACACCATTATTTGTAAAGATTACGATATTGTCAGAAGATATTATTATTCATCATTCTTATGATTTGATGGTATCATTTTGCATGGTTCAAATGATAATGAAGCATAGCTAACCCTTCATTCAATCTAAACAATAAGAATGCACCACAACTTGCAAAAAAAAAAGAGATAAACTTATTTGTTATTGTTATTGTTTCAGTGCAAAAATCCTAGTCTTGCTGCTGATCTTTGTGAACAAGAGAAAAAGAAGGACGAAGATCGTGTGGAAACAAGTCAAAAGGTAGGGCGAGAAACTCACATTCTGTTATAAGTAATGGAAAATTATTGTTTTCACATCGCAACAAGACGGCAGGAAGAAGAGGACGGCAAAACGCTTGGGTGTGACAAGTGACAGGGCTGTTACTTATTAATTTTTTTCCAGTCTTTTACAAAAAAAGATCTATTTAAAAGAAGGTGAAGTTTGGCGGAAGGTTTTTTCAAACAAAATTATTGTCATGCTTGTCACACATTAAGGTTTGCTGTCTTCTTCCCTCTTCCGTCCTGTTGCGTACGTCAGTTCACTCAGAGTACGCCTTCGGTAAGGTGAAAATACAATTCTTCTACGGTTTAAATGATCCTTTTTGCGTTTTTTTTTGTAGTAAACTCAATAATAAATTATAAATGATGATGACCCGAACACTGAAGTTCAAAAGCTGTCTTCGCAATTGTGTTTTTGGCTGCCGTCAACATAATTACGATCACAAGCAAAGAAGCTACGAAGAGACACACAAAGCGGATCGAAATCCACCAATCACAAACTTCTGTTTTCTAAGAGATCCGCTAAGATGATTAACGGCCGTGAAGAACGCAAGCATCAGTTGGCTTTTGAACTTCAGAATTCACGTGTTTTTGAAAAGCGCAGTAAGGGGGAGTTTAGAAAAACCCAGGGTTGGTGAAATTGGAATTTTACTTAAAGACTATCGGTTCTTTTTTAATAGTGAAGTAAACTGCAATTGGTTTACCTCATTGGTTAATAATAAAAAGCACATTTCCTTTTTTTTTTTACAATTAGAACAACCTTTTGGTACTGAGTTATTGGGTTTTTCTTTTGTAGAAACAAAAATTACAAGGATCAAAGAAGAGGGCGTGTTTCTCGTTTCAAGATCAAGGTGGATTGAGTGAGATCAAAGCAAAGCTTTTTCAATACCGGGAGAGATTATCGGGTTTGCGAGCGGGTCAAACGAAGGTGTTAAAAAGGAGGATTTCATGCTCATAGTAATTAAAAATGAACCTCTTTCATCTCTACTCCAAATCATCGCTTTACATAACATTACAGAGAGTCGTCCCATGAAAGAGAATCCGGATTACGGAATCCGGAATCCAGCAATATTTGCTGTTGAATCCGGAATCCTTGGTTTTGGAAATCCCGAACACATTCTAAGGAATCCTGAATCCTGCTGCCAGTAATCCAGAAACCAAGTTCTACTGGCACAGAATCCGGCAATCCAGAATCCACACCGCAGAATCCAGAATCCAAGGCTAGGACTCCCTTTCATGGATTCCCTCACAGTCGAATTTCCAGTAAGCGACCGCCCAAGGTGCGAAGATTTGGTGGTTGCCTGCGAGTATCGAACTATACGAGTCTCTTTCGAGAAGAGGTCCCAAGACATTTGCTTTTAAGCCAAGATTGTTTACTTCCAGTTTATATATTTGAGGTTCCACGTTGTCACTTATAAAAGTTGTGTATACTCTTGGAAGCCGTAGTACTGATTGTGAACATAGCGTTTACACCACTGGGTCAGTTGGTAGCCTACAACAGGTTAGAAATTACAAAACCGTCTCGCCCAAAAGTGGAAGCGGTTGGTTACTAGAGGTGGTAGTTTTCTGCTTAGAATAAAGCGGAGATCGTCTAAAAGCTGTACAGAGCTTGCTTGATCTCCTGCCTTGTAGTAGTGTAATAGTTTATGTGTGTACAAATGAATGTATGGTAAGTAATTACAGGGTTTTGATTGGGAAAAGTTTTGATGTTTTTGGATAGATGGTCGCTTATGGAAGGTGATCGCTTATGAGAGGTGATCGCACATGGGCGCGTTCAAATGTATTTTACATTTATCCTTAAAAATGTTTATAATTTGTCCTTCAAAGGTTTTGTTCTTCTTTATAGTACGTTGAAGCGAAGAAAGAATCGAGTCAAAAGCAGGCCGAGTGTGCTTTATCGCCAGATAAACTAAAGACGATGCTGAATAAGATGAGACCATCTGAACGTTTGGATGCACCTTTACTTGAAGATGAACTAATTCCTGCTTTACCGAGTGAATTCAAGTCTGAACATGAGGAGGAGATCATTGATCAAAGGCTAGTTTATTGATAAGTGCATAAATGAACTAACCCATTTTTTTTTAACAAAAGCGACAATAGCATTGCCATTCTCATCACGTGTGAGAACATTAGTTACGCGATGGTAATAAGCATGACTAATTCGTTAAATCATGGAGGTGTTCGATACAACGAACCCTCGATGTAACGAAAAAAATTCCCCCAGTCCCTTGGCACTTCGTTAAATCGAGTTTCCACTGTAATAGAGAGTTATGTTATGTAAATAAAATAAACAGCTACCATCAGGGGCACCAAACGACAATTTTCGGAAAAATATCTGTTCGGAAGACGATTTGAGATCTAGAATTTTCGGAACATTTGTTGTAAAATTTCTTGCTTTCCTGCCTCTCCTAGGATTTTCGAACATCTAAAAAATGGTATAATTGCCTATTTTTAACGGATTTTTACCCTAAAAAGGTCACCTAGAATTTTCGGGAGCCTTTTTTCTGGCTGAAATTTTCGGAAAGTTAAGTTTTGATCCCTATAATTTTCGGATCACTAGACTTTCAGCTAGGAAATCCGAACAGATGAAAAATTTTTAGGGGATAAAAATATGCCTATATCTACCGTTTAAATACTAAAATACGTTTAACAATTCTATGTTTAAGTGGTTTTGAACTATATTCTCGTTGGGTGCCCCTGTACCATGGCCTTGTTATAACTCATCAAAATATCGTTAATGTCATCTTTAATGACTTATGACTCAAACACGATTCAGCGAACCCCATTGACATTGCAACTGATATACAAAGATCTCTTCAGTAAACGGACACCTCTGTAAGACGGACACCTAGTGTTGGTCCCTGCCATTTTTCAGTTATTTGACTGTAACTATACTCTCTATAAGACGGACACCTCTGTACAGGAAGCCGTACAAAAACCACTTTCTAATCCCCACGCTCCATGGCCGGGAATGGCGCACAGTGGTGCAGCTAATGAAGCTGGTGCTAGAGGTGGAGTTACAAGAACAAGTTTCTAAACATAGCTGGATGGAGGATGGCCTTTGGTGGAATGAGACAACGGTACGTTTAGGGGCTGTTAATACAACACCGGGATGACTTTCAATTTTGAGTCTACTCTATTCTTTATTTTATATATTTCTCTCTATTTTTTTTTTTTTTTTACATGATACCAAAACGACATTTTATTTCCGTTCATTCCCTCCGGAATGAGTTCATTCAGGTTTTCAATCCGAATGAAATGCTCGTTCTTATGCCAATTTCATTCCAGTATCATATAAACTGAAAACGAACTTTGTTCTGGATTGAAAATCAAACATCGTGTAGTCTGGGGTGAATAGCGCATGAGTACCTGATCTGGCGCGAAAACCACGTGATGGAGAACGCCTTAAGCTAAGCCGGTCTATTTAATCACGTGAATATAATTCGTACTTCATTTCGGAACGAAACTCATTCCGAAATGAAAGTAATTTCGGTATCCTATAAACATCCCCTCAAGACCGCTGGTCACCGAAAGCATTCTCTCTGCTCGCCCGCGCACTTGCATATCATTCCCGCTCTAAGAATTCCGAGCAACATGAGACTGGCTCACAGTATAGGGCTTTTCGAAAACTGATATCTTGTTTACAATAATTTCTTATTAACTATTCACTATTCTTTTGTGAGAAAGTACCTATTACTTCGCCATAGTACTTCCATGGCATTCTTGATAAAAGGCTAAGAAAATTTAAGTGCTTTCGAAACAACACTGTAATCAATCGCAACAGTGACTCAATAGGGGCTTGACTCGGGAGGAAAAACATATGATAAAGCCAGTTGAATAAGATACAGGGAAGTGCGGGTGGGTAGTTGAAAAAGATTTTCATCATAGTTTGTGTGGCCATTATTCATTTTTTTTGGTTTTTTTATTCAGTCACCATGACTGAATCGTTCTGATTTTATTTAGTGGAGATTGAACGAATCCTCTCCCTCCAGCACTTTAGGAAGGTGAAAAACTTGCCCTTAAGGTTTTGTTTATTAAACTACTCAGTGATTAGGGTTATTCTTGATTTGCAACCACGTGAAAAAGCGGCCAATTTGCTTAACAGTCGTACTAGTAGTTGACAGTAGTAACACTATAGTATTGCTAGCAGTATCTTTTTTTTTTTACTAAGAAAGAATATAATAAAGGAAATAAAGGGAGATGTAAAGAATCAACCATAAGAGGACACAGAAAAAATCTGAGCCCCAGATGGGATTCGAACCCACGACCCTCCGTGTTCTATTAAGAAAGAGTTTAGAAAAACGTTTTTTTATTTATTTAGCTTCGCCTAACTAGAATCTGAATAAATAAAAAACGTTTTCCAAACTCTTTCTTAGTAAAAAAAAAAAGATGACACATAATACAATACAATAACTTGTAATAGTTGACACTAGAGTTGCCCCCACTTTGTGTACGTATTGCCGGTCAATAGTATTCTTGCTCGTTGTGTAGCTCTTTGAAATATAACAATTCGTATTGAAGATTTTCATACATCATTCCATACAATAGGTGAGAGTAATAACAGCAAATGCAACGTTCCATACACTGTTTCAGTTCGATTTACGCAGCTTTGATCAAAACATTCGCAGTTTTATTACATCCACTTTGAAATCACTGGCTATCCGTGCAATCTGATTGGCTCTCAGCAGTGTGATTTATTCCTAAATCGCACCATTTTTTGCTCTAAATCGCATCCGTTCCAAATCGCGTCATTTCTGTTCTAAATCGCATCATTTCTGTTTTAAATCGCACTATTTTTGTTCTATATATCGCATCATTTCTGTTTCGAATACAAAATGAGATGTAAAAGCCTTTTTGTTTCGGCTTTTTAACAAACCGGCTACTCGATCAATAAAATATTAGTACTGACTAAATTCTGCGATTTCAAAATGGATGTAATAAAGTGGTAATTGAACTTCGTGTCGTGCAATTTTGGTCTGAAATCATACTTGTGATTTCAAATCGAACTCGCGCTGCGCGCTCGTTCGATTTTGAAATCACGCGTATGATTTCAGACCAAATTGCACTCCACTTAGTTCAATTACCATTATTAATTCGAGAATAGTTTATTCTAAACCATAAGAAAAGATTTAATCAGAAGTTGTAATTTTTCGCTATTTCTCCTTCACTTTTTACATACAGTTAATTTTATTTGCCGGAAAGTAAGTCTTTCGTTAGAAATTCAAAGTTTTAATGAATTCATGCTCGCGCGTTCTAGCCTTTTTTAAACTTTATAAAAGGACATCTGTGAGCTGGGGATAAGTCAGCACTGAACTCGATTGTCGGCAAATTTCTGTAATCGTCCCATCGTTCTGCTAGTGATAAGCTAGCCGTTGATTCACTCGTCTTGCTTGTTTGGGACTGAGCCTTATTCCCCCAAAGAGAGAGACACAGTGTATGGCAACAAATTGTTTCCAATCAAAGATTTGTGAACTCGTTCTAGCAAACTCTCCAAGTGTTCATATATACACAGTAGTACGGACCTTATGACTTCATCGAGTGTCTTTTGGTCCATGACTTTCAAAACAGCTGCTCCTTAGAATGACACTGATAATACTTAACCCTAATGAGTATCCAAGTGTGAAAGTACAATAAATGTCACAAAATCTACCTAAGCGGTCCCTTAGATGGTTTTCTGTTTTACGTCATCCTAACCATCTCCGTTACTTACTGGCGCAAACAATAGAAAACGTCGTCATTACCCACCGATTCCTCTCGGCCCCTGTTGAATGCAAATCGAGAGTTTTTCTGGCTTACTGACTGTATATTTCAGCTGTAAGTACTTTCCTTAATATACGCACGAGTTACTTGAGTGCCTCCTCGAAATTTCACCTTCTGGTCGAAATCTCTGTGGGGGAGGGGATGGGTGCAAAAACACGGGACTTTAAGAAATTGTTAGGCTAAAACTTGCCAGTTAGGACCCCTCTATAAATAACCTTTTTGGCCTAAAACTTGAAACAGGTTATTATTTTCTAAAATTGTAAGAAAACATTATGTACTCTTGGGCAAATAAGATATTTTAGTTAGCATTCAGAATCCTAATTATTGGAGACAACGGGGCAGGTTGATAGTTTCAAAGCTGTTTGTACTTATCCCGGCAAGTGACTATCCCCCTTCCTCTAAAAGTCAAGTAATATTCCCATTACGGGAGGGACGGGACACGCAACGCCCTCTTTGTATGCGTGCGCAATTTTGTCTTTTCTCCACATACACGCTACCGGGAACTATATTGGTCTTTGCCACAGGCAGCCCAATAAGTACCAGCTTAGCCTGTTTCATGCTCTAAGTTAGTGATATACAGAGATCGTTAAAACTGATGCGATAAGCCCTCGGAGGCTATAGGCTTTGACCTTCTTCTCGCTACTATTTGAGAGACTGGCACTGGCTACTAAACTGTTTAGAGCGGATATTTAAGTCGTTTTTGATGATCATTTGTAGGCCTGGAATAGATTTCCAAAAACAGTTCAATATAATAGCCCTGAAAGAACAATTTAGCTGTCATGTTTCTTTCTTTCTTTCATAACTTGTGCGGCTGCTAAAGACAATGGAACCAGTGGCACATTTACCAAGAGAAGGTGACTAAATGTTAATTGTAATAAATAATACGAACACGCATGGGTCGATGAGGTCTTAGCGGAACTCCATGGGCTTCATTGAGTAGTTCCAAAAAATATCCATACCCCTCCCCCTCCCCACCCCCCTCCCCACGGATGGCACTTTGCTTTGCTTTGCTTTATTAGTATTATTTTTTTTAATAGATTGAAATCACATTTTCTGGTGTAAAATTTACGTTGCTTTTTATGTTGTTTTGTTTTTCTCTTTTTAATTCCAGGAAGAAGACAACTACCTAAGCTATGAAAGTTTTCCGGTGTTGTGTTGCGATGTCGCCTCATCCTTCACTGCCATCCAAAAAGTATGTTTGCAAACAGACTTTTGACTGCTGCCGTGAATGCAAATGCATGTGGGACTGTATCGCCCAAAAATCGTACTCGGAACTATCATACATACAAT